GAGAGAGAGGGCTGTTTTGAGAGGTGTAGGGTTGAGGTTTGGTGAAAGGTTGAGGTTCGTGTCTGTATAGCTCTTCATCGGAGCTCTAGGCGTGGCTGTGAAGGCCACGGTGGTAGGGGTCTCGTAGGATTACTGGAGAGTGAACCGAGTGGGTTTCAGGGATTTTGGTCTAGGTCTCAGCCTTGGTGGCCGTCGGGAGTGGTGGCTAGCGGACTGTGAGGCTAGGGTCCTAGGAAGCGAAGCAGTGAGGGGTATTGGAGGAGTTGGTTCCTCGTCGGAGCCCGGGGGGAGAACCCGCGGTGGCCGTGAGTTTGCTTTTAGTGGGGGGGGTCGAAAATCTTTTAGATCCTAGGCTTTGGGGTTGATCTGAGTGTTTCAGCGGGGTTGTTAGGCGGCGGAGGCTGCGGCGTTTGGGAGTTTTTGTTTAGGGTTTCCATAGGTTAGACGAGACGAGGGAGGAGAGATTTGAGAGAAAGACGGCTGAGGGCAAAGGGCTTATCTGTTTAGGTTGGGAAAGAAATGATCCAGGGTTTCAAAAATTACCCTAATAACCGATATATCTGCGCGTTAAAACGACGTAGTGTCGAGCTGTGCCAAAACGACAGCGTTTTATGGCTAGGGGAATATCCCATGTTTTAAGATATTGGTTGAATCTCGTGTGAGGCCCAGTAGGTTCAGTCTGTTACATTTGGTTCCTTAACCGAGCTTTACTCTTTTCTGATTTTGCCTTGTAATTTTCTGAGTGTTTCATTTTTGTCCAATTTCATGTTTAGGGCTATTTTCCGTTGTTTTCACATTGGATATGCAATTTGACAAACGTTCATTTTGGTCCTCCGTAAACTTTGGTATATTATATTTGCGATACTTGGAAATGAATTTTTATGAAAAGATCCTTCTGTTTATGTTCTTTACATTTTAGTCCTTGTCTAATATTTTATGCATAATTATAGGTTAATTTCAGATTTATTTTAAATATATGCATGTGTATATTATTTCGAGTATTTTGTCCATACGCATAGAGTCAAATGTAGTTTATTTTTATGTTGCATGTGTATATCATTTCGAGTATGTTGTAATTTGCATAAATTTAGGTGTAATTCATTTTCTATAAGCATGTTAGCCTCATATGCAACTCGACTCCTATTACATAATTTGATTAAGGATAATACCCTTTTAATTTAAAATTTGTCGAAATGGCTTTTCATAACTTACTGGAAGGTCGTTATTGATGATTTTAAATTACAAGTGTATCCCGTCATTGTCACTAAAATTTTGATTCTCCACTTTAAAATTTGGGAGCGAAAGAAAAGGAAATATTCGACTATTTAAACTTTTCGAGAAAAGGTCGTTAGAACTGAACTAAAGATCTGGTCCCGATATTTTTAAATAATCGAATATTCTTTATCTTTCTAATGACTTGGTAATTTTAAATTAAATCTATTTTGTTGCTTTGAATGTTGCAAATTTGCATGTTTGTCGTTTAAAGGGATCACTAATCAAATCAAATTTGAACTTGTGAAATTCGTTGCAAAGAAATTAATTAATCGACTAGGTACCGATTTAGGGCGTTGTGGGGGTGCTAATCCTTCCCCACACGTAATCGACTCCCGAACTCAGATTTTGATAACGCAGACCTCTACTTGTCGTTTTAATTAAAATTAATTTTTATTTAAAATGACAAAATGCTTTTGGGTGCCCAATCACACCCTAATCAAAGATTGGTGGCGACTCCTCGAACCTTATGTTTTTATCGTAAAGGAATTTCCAAATTTTCGAAACGAGAAGTTTTCTAAAAATCACATTGTTTTTAATTAAAAGTTCAATTGAAAAGAGAATAATTAAAAATGATGCGGTTTTCAAAATCTCGCTCCCCCACGCCCCGTTTAAAAATCGTTTCGACAAAGTGTGAAAGGTTTATTTATTTCTTTCTCCAAACTTCCTCTGGTATTCCACCATCCAAGGGAACTAAGGGCCCACAGTTGATCAGGTAAGCTGCAGTGTTGATAACTTTAGCCCATAGCAATTTGGGCAAGCCGACATGTATCCTCATGCTTCTGGCATGTTCATTTAGAGTTCTGTTCATGCGCTCTGCTATGCCATTCTGCTGCGGTGTCATGAGAACTGTTGTCTCCATCTTGATCCTATTGTTTGTGCAGAAATCTCTGAATCTACTATTTCTGTACTCTCCTCCATTATCAGACCTCAACCGCTTGACTTTCAAACTAGTCTCATTTTCCACCATGGCCTTCTATTTTCTAAAGGTATCAAAGACTTTTGATTTTTTCTTCAGAAAATAAACTCACACCTTCCTTATAGAATCATTAGTGAGCTTGCAAGAGATGGAACTAGAGATGGTCCCCATACATCAGTATGAACCAACTCTAACTTTTCAGCCTTGGGTGTCTTGTCAATCTTTGCAAAACTGACTTTCTTTTGTTTGCCAAAGATGCAATCTTCACATAGTCCGACATCTATATTCTTTAGATCCGACAGCTTCCCTTTTAACAAAAGTGTCTTCATCCCTTTCTCGCTTATATGGCCAAGCCTTTGGTGCCATAGGTTTGATTTTCCATCAGCATCTGCTACTGTAATGATATTCTCTAAATTTGAGGTTACATAGAGAGTATCAGTATTCTTATCACGAGCAATGACGAGTGCTCCTTTGGTAACCTTTCATTCACAGCCTGAAAAGGTTGTGCTATATCCTTCTCTATCAAGCTCTCCTACAGAAATCAAATTTCTTTTGAGGTCAGGAATATGTCTCACTCCTTTCAGCTTCCAGGTGGTCTGGTTTGGCAACTTTAATCGGATGTCTCCTTTTCCGACAATCTTCAAGGTTTCATTATCAGCTAGATGAACCTTCCCAAAATCACCATTGACATAGTTCTCCATGATTTCTTGGCATCGGGTGGAGTGGAAAGATGCCCCTGAATCCAAGATCCATGATTCAATCGGACAGTTGACGCTTAGAATCATGTCATCACCTATCTCCTCTATTACGTTGGCAGATTCCTGTGCACCGATATCTTTCTTCAATGCTCGGTAATCTTTTTATAATTATAACAATTAAAATCTTTCTTTCCCATTCTTGATTTTCCCCTTCTGCATTTCGATCTGCCACAATTTGAATTTCTTTCTGAAGTTCTCCCTTTAGACTCTGTGTGCAAGACTGAGGAGCTTGATGCTTCACCCGATTCTCTTTGTCGAATTTCTTCACTCAATACCAGATCCCGAACATCATCGAATTTCAATTTACTATTTCCCGATAAGCTGCTGACTGCTGTAACAGTAGCATTCTAACTGTCTGGTAGAGATGATAAGAGAATTAAAGCTCGAACTTCATCATCAAATTCAATTTCTACGGAACTCAATTGGGTTGTGATTGTGTTGAGTTTATTTAGGTGTTGAGCCACTGATCCCCCTTCCGCCATCCGCAAATTGAATAATCGTCTCATTAAGTGAACTTTGTTTGAGGCAGATGGCTTCTTATACATATTGGAGAGAGCCGCCATAAGACCCACCGTGGTCTTTTCCTTTGCTATGTTGAAAGCAACATTGCGGGATAACGTCAGTCGGATAACTCCGAGGGCTTGGCTGTCGAGAAGAGCCCAATATTCATTCTTCATACCCTCTGGTTGATTTCCTGAGAGAGATTGATATAGATTTTTCTGGTACAGAAAATCTTCAATATGCATCTTCCAAAAGCCAAAGTCCACACCATCGAAGTTCTCAATTTTCGTCTTCCCTTCGTCTGCAGCCATCGCTCATACTCGAATCTGGCTTCGTTTGGATTGTTTCTGACAATTTCTGTGAACCGTTGTGTATTAGAACACCTCCGTCGAAAAACTCGTATCACCGACCAAATTTCACTATTCATGAAAATTACTATTCATGCAAATAGTAACCTCGCATCAAAAACCGAAAAAATCACCACCAAAAGCTCTGATGCCAGTTGTTGGGAAATAAACGAGTAATTTCCCTATAACTAAATTAGTGAGAATACGAAATAAAAGCGGAAAAATAATACCCGAAATTGATAACGGAGTTCAACCAATTATGCCCACGTCTCCGGACTGTTGCAGATCTTTTACTAAAGAGAGAAAATTTACAACTGTTTACAAAACACTCACAACTCACAAGAAAGTATTTAGTATTGAGAGAAAGAAATGATTTGAGATGATTTTGAAGCTAAATGGGTTAGGGTATTTATAGTCGAAGCTTAAGGACTAATCTTGAAAATACCCTAACATGAAGGGACTAAAATGCAATTCTTCCATGCACAAAATTCAACCAAAATGGCTGCCTAATTTTGAACATTTGCAGCCGCCCCTTTTGCATCCATTTTTGACAATTTAGCCACCCATTTAACAGTCCATGTGTTGTCATTTTCTTTGACTTTCAACAAATAAATCTTCTATTAAAGCTTTGAAAAGGGTTAGATATGGAGGCGATGAAGATCAATATTATCTTCCGCTGAAGAAGATGAGGAAATTGGGTGAGGGTTTGAGTTCAAGAAAAGAATGTGTCGTTTGTTTGGATGAGTTGCTCGACCAAGACAGGTTACTTCAATGCCTTGTGGCCATATTTATCATTAAGATTGTATTATCAAGTGGTTGGAAACAAGTTATTTGTGTCCATTGTGTCGATATGAAATGCCAATTGATTGAAATTTGTTATAAGATTCTTATATGTTGTTTGTCGACGCATTTGATAAAGAAAATACAAAAATTATCAACATTTTTAAAATTTATAATTTCGATTAATCAATAAAATTAGTTTATATGAGTAATATTTTAATATTTATTGTAATTTGAATAATTACGCCTGTAAGTTTTTTTTTTTTACTCCATAGAATAGGTAGAGTTCCTCAAGAGCTTGTAGAACTTTGATCTGCATGCTCGTGCGTATGCCGAACGACTGAGGGATGAGCCTATGTTTTCGGTCCTTGCTAAGACATCCAGGAGTATTTAAAGCGTACAAGTAAAAAAACTATTTAAAAGGAAAAGAAAATCCGAATTTTATTTATCTTCTAAATTTCTTCTTAGGGAAGAGATTAGAATAACCAAGTTTTTTCTTTAGTCTCTCAACATGCTAAAAAAATAAAATCTTTAAGCCAACAGAAAGATCAAGGGTAAAAAAAAAAAACTAACCCAAAAATTCAACCAAATGAAAGAATGTAGGGGGAGATCCACGTACATATATTGTAGAGGCTGAAGCTTTCTTCATCTCAAATCTATGGCCTGGTTAAAATCAGATGGTATGAAGTGCCTTATACCATCTTCATTCTTCATTAGTTTCATTCTGTGTCAACTTCCGAATCCTTGTCTGAATTCTCCGTTGTTGCTTCAGCATCCTTGACCACAGTTTCCGGAGCTTCTTTTTCACAATCTTTATTTGACAGTGGAACTTCTTGCGGTGAAGGCATTGCTTCAGGATCCTTGGTTTCAGTTTCGGAAACTTCTTTGCCGTCTTTCTTTAAAGGTGGAACTTCGAGTGACCGCGGCTTTGCCTCGGAATCTTTAGTTTCAGCATCATTTTCGGTATTCTCATTTGTGCCGCTACCTTCCATAGATTCTGTCTTTGCTTCTGTCTCTGGAGTTTCTTCCTCCTTTTTCTTTGTATCAATTACCAAGGGTGGGAGCTTTGCATCTGCATCCTTGACTTTCGATGTAAGAGATCGCACATTTTTGGCATTTGCTAGCCTACCGGCGGCTTTCTGCCATGGAAATGGAAATGTTAGAGCTTTGACTAACACAGAAGAAACTGTCATCTACATGTAAACCGAAACAGATAAAGACCAGCATAGCAGCATGGAGATTAATGACGTCCATGAATTGAAAGTGCCCGAGGCTTGGCTTGGGGTTTATGAAACAGCACTGATATGCAATGCCTAAAAGAAATGCTGCAAACTCTATGTGAATTAGCAACTCCTTCATTTAAAACAGTAAAGAAAGATATCCAATGCCTAAAGAAATGTATGTGTTAAAGCAAGAAATTCTGAGTCACATCTTGACTTACTTCTTCGATTTGATCCACCCGTTCTTTTAAAACATCCTCAGATGCTTCCTTGTAAATACCTTGAAGAACATAAAGGATGTGATAATGAAGTTCTTCAGATTGATGTTCTTCAATCTTACAACTAGGTACTGCTGCTTTGCAACCAATTGAAAAGAAAGGGCAGTTCACGAGCTTCATCGGACAGACGGTTATGCAGTGTCTGTCCATCTCATGTCTTAAAAGGAAAGCAGGGCATTTTTGTTCACATGGAATTATCTTGAAGGGACAAACCGAATCGTGTTTCTCCAATTTATTAGCCGAAAATCGAGCATCACACCCTTCATTTTCACATGTCATTACTCTAAAGCTGCAAGTTGGCATGTGCAGGGAAAGTTCTTCTGCAGTTTCAAATTTCATGTTACAATGATACTCGATCTTGGAATCAACATTCTTCAGCAAAATTTGTACAATCTCTTCTCTCTTGTCAACAGGCCAAAATCCATTAATTTCCAGCTGATGAGCGAAATCATCGATGCTGTCTTCTCTCCTCTCGCTGAGTAGCAATGCCGAAACCCGACTAAACAAATTCCTCTTTGAAATGGCAAACTCGTCGATAAGAATAGCAATTATATCGTAAGGATTGTCGAATACTTCCGCCTCAGGAGCGCCTTCCAAGACAACAGATTCAGCCACATAAGTCTCGGTTCTTTGTGTAAGATACTCCACCAATTCTTTCCTTAGGTCCGCAGCTACTGAACCAGGGGACGTGAAAACGCCACCGGTTGTATTGTCGACACAAGCTGTAGCTAACCCCGGGAGGAGTGCTTGAGTTATCTTGAAAAGCAGTTCTGCATCACAAATACCACAGTGAAATGCAGGACCTGACTCTTTTACATCTTTGATCTTCTCTGGTACATTCCCTACATCACCGGCAGGCGGTTCCATAGTTGTAGGCGGATCCGTAGTTGCAGGTGGATCCGTACTTGGTGATGCCTACAAAAAATTATGTCAACCACAACATATAAAGTATCTGATTTTTTGATAAATCTGCTTGACAACCGAAAAATTCTTCCAAGTCTATTGCAAATTCAGAAGCAAGGAAACCCACTGGTTGAACTTGTAAGACAATCAAAGACAGAAAACAACCAATATCGATAGCCATATTCCATCCGGAAACAAAGTCGATCGTCAAATTTCATACCTTGATCAATCAGTCTGTGTATAATTATAGCAGGAGAAAAGCAGCCCAGAAAAATCTATGTAAAATAAATTAAAACACCTCCTAAGAACAGTTTTTCAATTTCTTTGGTCTTTTAGCTCATTCTTTGATCCTAGTTTGGTATTAAACGAATCTCAATAAACTTTGCAAAGATCAAATCACTAAAACATTATAAACAACTCGAATTTTAGGCAACGAAAAGGATCATAACTGGAGAATCAAATTCTAATCATTCTATTAATCAAATGCAACACTAAAAAGAGATACTACGCAATTCTAAATGCTGAAGAATTCAGAGATCTGACTACATAATTTTTACCGCTCTGGTTCTCTTAGAATCATATATCCAACTAAAAGGAATAATTCAAACCTTACCTAAGAACAAATCGCAATTAATTTTCTACAGATCCAAACGTCAAACAAAATTAAATTTAAAAAAAAAACATATAAAAGAACCGCATTAAATTATTAATCTTAGAAGGATCTTAAATGGAGAACCGAATTCTAATTATTCCATTGGTCTAATGTAGCACGTAAAAAATTAAAAGGAAAAAAGGGGGAAAATACCTGCATCATTTTGAAATGCTGAGAATTAAGAGATTACGATCAAGGAAAATCTCGTCATCTCTATAAGGGGAAGAAAAGAATAGGCCTAAAATAATACCTCTCCGTCATCGTTTTTCATATTCAGTGAAACTGATTCAACGATCCTTTTGGCTTTTTTACGGCAAATGATCCTCTACCAACAAATATCTAATACTCTCAATATATGCCTTCCTCACGTATATTCATTCTCTTGCCAACATTTGATATACCTCCCCACTTATCATATAATTGAAAGAGAAAATAACCTCAGTGACCAAAAATCTCATATAATATACGATTTTAACCAATTTTTTCCGGATTTGCCAAAATGACCAACAAAATCGCAATGCGATCGCTAATTCGCAACGCGATCTCCATTATCGCAAATCAGTTTCCAGATTCGCAATGCGATTATGACTATCGCAATGCGATTTTCCAATTTCGCGTTGCGATTTTCCCAATTCGCAATGCGAATAAGTAAATCGCAATGCGAATTTGGAAAATCGCAATGCGCTACTGACTATCGCAACGCGATAATACAAAATCGCAACGCGATACTGACTTTCGCAACGCGATACTGACTTTCGCAACGCGATACTGACTTTCGCAACGCGATACTGACTTTCGCAACGCAATACTGACTTTCGCAACGAGATAATACATAATCGCAATGCGATTTTCAAAGCGCCATTAGTATCGCAACGCGTATTTTATTTTCAAATTCCAAACACGAATATTAATATATTGGAACACTGAACCGGCCACAGTATATCCCGTAATTGCAACTCATAACCTAAAACCTAAAATCACAACTCAGTCACATCTCCATCTCTCACTCTCTCACCCATCTCCGACGAGATCCGTCCCCATCTCTGGCGAAATCCGTCTATCTCCATCTCTCAGAGCCACCCTCACAATCAGAAATGGAAAATCAACCAAATCAGAAATGGAAAATCAACCAAATCAACCACCGAGGGTTAGTTTTTTTAATTATTTTCTTTTTTGAAATTTTTGCATTATTATTAGGTTTTTCATATTGAAATTGATGATAAATTTACTGGTAATTTCAATAATAGATTAACCATTTCACTTAGATTGCTTATTAAATCATCGAGAATCGCAACGTGAAATGAAAATCGCAACGACAAAATCGCAACGCGATTTTAGTTTCGCGTTGCGATAGTCAAATTCGCGTTGCGATAGTCATTTTTGTGTTGCGATTTTCATTTTCAGAAACTATTCTTCTTCTGCAAATTGAAACTTGAATGAATTGCATTACTTCAACCAAAAAACAAAGACAAATACGAAATTCACAGTGTTGCAAATTTAAGTTTGAAGAATAAACTACTACTCTTTATGTTTATTATTGTTTTTGGTATATCTTCACAGTGTAGTTTTTGGTATATCTAACTTAGTATGTTTATTGTTTTTGTAGAACTTTTATTCGGCTCAATTGACCTTAAGAAATAAAGTCAGCCTGGCCAAAACAATTGCGTCGAAGCTTTCACCTGCACAAAGAAAAATGTTTGAGGATACTTGCTTCGGGCCATGGCTAAAAGTACAACATCCCGGTGGAGATGCGATGTTGACACACCTGTTTCTACAAACCATGACTAGCGATCTACCAGATACTATACAACGTCGTGATGAAGAGATATGGTTTGATTTTTCACCGGCGTATACGTGTTTTGGGCGGGAGGAGTTTTGCTTAATCACCGGTCTACACTTCGGACACGATGATGTAGGTCGGTACACTAGACACATTACCCGCCCATCATGGTTATCCCGGGTTTTTCCTGAGCTGGAGAGGTCGAATCTACACGTGGAAGACCTGACGAGATTATTGAATAAGAAATATGGTTTTACTCGGATGGATGACGTCAATGTTGTCCGAGTATGCCTTTTAATACTTTTGCATGTCGGCTTTTTAGGCAGAGAGGCCAGACAACCTATTCCGAATGATCTAATCAAATTGGTAGAAGACCTAAATGCGTGGAACCTGTTTCCGTGGGGCTCGTATTTATGGAAAGCTACATGGAATAAGTTATCGTCTGCCTTGGATGATCAAAAAAGTTTGCATGGCGATGGTTCCAAATACACTTTGACATGCTTTATTTGGGCCTTTAAGGTAAGAATTTTATATAATGTTTCCAAAATTATAAGTAATTATTTAACAATTACTAATGTTTGTTATTATATTGTTTGTAGATTTGGATATTTGAGGCTTTTCCCGCCATGAAGACATATGCAATAAAAACTTCAAATGATATTCCCAGGGCTATTTCCTGGAAGAGGAAACGGACCTTGCAATGGGAAGATTTACTACGGTATACGACAATAAATAATGTAAGTTAACATAAATACTACCATATGTTTATAAACAAGTTATTACTAGTACACGTTTAACTTTGTTTGAGCTTTTATATTGTTAGGAGGCCAACACTCTATTACAGAGGCTGACACCCACGGAAGCTGAGCTTGACACTGATTGGTGGCAAGCTAGTAAGCGTTTTTTTGATGGCACGGATGATGAGCAGCCTCCACTTCGGGAGCCATCACCTCACCCAGAGCCATCACCTGATCGACCCGACTATACACCTCCACAACGACAACCATCACCTATTCTGTCATATCATCGAGCCTCTTCTCCACCATCACCGCAAGATAGGCGATCGGCAAAGATGCCACGACGTTTATCTCCCTGTTCTCCACCTCCACCTCCATGGGATGAGTTAGGGGGGTTACGTGATGAGGTCAATGTCTTGCGTGAGGAGGTCGGTACTTTACGCAAAGACGATAGTGCATGGCGTGTTGAGGTGTCTACTTTACGCGGTGAGGTAGCCGCTCTACGTGAGATGGTAGCATCGTTGCAGAATGAGGTTCATACTCTACGCAATAAGGTAAGTTTAAGATTTTTCATATTTAACTTGATGATAAATTTACTCGTAATTTCACTTAGATTAACCATTTCACTTAGATTGCTTAATAAATTCATTCGGTTGCTGCCAATACTGCTAAACTGTTTTTGTTAGTATTTGTTTTTGGTTTTGTTTTTATCTTTTGGTTGAAGTAATGCAATCCATTCAAGTTTCAATTTGCAGAAGAAGAATAGTTTACTTTCGCAACACGAAAATGACTATCGCAACGCGGAAATGGCTATCACAATGCGAAATGAAAATCGCAACGACAAAATCGCAATGCGAAATGAAAATCGCAACGACAAAATCGCAACGCGAAATGAAAATCGTAATGCGATTTGTGTTTCGCGTTGCGATTTTGTCGTTGCGATTTTCATTTCGCATTGCGATTTTGTCGTTGCGATTTTTATTTCGCATTGCAATTTTCATTTTGCGTTGCGATAGCCATTTCCGCGTTGCGAAAGTAAGTTTCGTGTTGCGAAAGTAAACTATTCTTCTTCTGGAATGTTTATATATGTTGTCCTTTTAAATGTTTATATAAGTGCTTACTTCTGGAATGTTATCTGATGCATTTTGTGAACTATGATAGAATAATGACTTGGGTGAATACAATGCAAGTTTGAAACATATTTGTCTTTGTTTAATATCATGTCTGTTTATTTACTGATTTATGTATTAATTTTTTTAGCGGCCCGATAAGGTGGATGCTTTACGTCGGGTTTTCCTTGCACGATGGAGTTCACGTATCAGACGACGTGCACGTGCTATTACGTCTCCGTTCACCCCAATGGTGCGAAGACTCCGCAAGAAGAAGCCCGACTCACCTGTCATCCCTCAAGAGTTCCCTCCAATCGTTCAAGAGGCCTCTATCATCTCTCAAGAGTCCCCCCCACCGTTCAAGAGGCCACTGTCATCGTTGAAGAGGTCCCTCCCACCATTCCAGAGCCCGATTCACATGGGGTAATATATCGAATTATTGAGAAACCCCCCACCGTTGCCGGACATGATTGATGAGAGTTGGCTCTCGTATGAGTTACCGGCTAGTACCATTTCGGTATCTGAAGTGGAGAGGAGACAACTATCGGAAACAATTCTGGATAATACCATTTGGGCTAAGACCGCAGTTGATTTTTATCTACATGAGCGGAGCCAAGGGTGTTACACTGACATAAGCAAACTCAACGATGAGATGTATTTGTTGCTTAATCGGTCTTGGTGGGGTGTGTTATTAGGGGTTGAAGACAGTGGCTATTTCGATGGGGAGGTAAGTCTTATATTTGTCTTATATATGATTTTGATTAATTTTTTTAAAAATTAATGTAATTCACTAATATATGACTTTTTTTGTAAAACAGCATATCGATGCATGGGTGTCACGTCTTCTAATAATAAGGAAGCTTAGGAAAAATAAAAAAAATCGCGGTATACAATAATGTCAAGTGGCTTTTCACGCAGTTCACTTGAAGAATCAACGAGATGAATCATTTTCGTTGGGAAATTGACAAGCTAAACTTTATCCTGCATGGTGGGAGGTCGATAAGGTTAGTGTTTATTTTTTAAATTTTTTAAAGGTGTTCATAAATAAGTGCGCAAATAAATGAATTATTACTTATGATTGCAGGTGTTTATCCCTGTTTTGGAACGTCGTCATTGGCTTCTCGTCCAACTTCAGCTCCCATCCCTGAAGATAATAGTATATGACAGCATGATAAATTACATATCACTGTCTGATTTGAGAGATATTATCAAGGGATGGAGCTCTCATTTGGCTAAATTCTTGGATGGGATTAATTATTGGACTCATTCTGGACACAAGAAGCCAAAGAAGTTCAATGTCACAGTTGTCATAGACGAGACCGCGCCACAACAATAGCCGGGAGCCAGAGGGGATTGTGGTCCTCTCGTATGCATGTGCTTGGCGCGTTTGACGACGGGAAGCACAGAGTTTCTACCTCCCACCGATAGAGATAGAGCTGCAGTAGGCTTGTGGTTTCGGCATTATATGGCTAGAGCGATATATTCGAGACGCTGCCTACCTGCATCCGCGTTATGAAAGTATCCATTGTTAATTGGTAAGTCAAATGCAAGTTTTGTTAACATATATACTCTTTTTGGTTTGAAAATGTTTGGTTAAGTACCTAGAATTCAATAATTTGCTGTTTGTAGGTTTTAGATGTGTAGGAAGTCTTGTTTGAGCAAATGTTTGGTTTCTACAGGTTAATCCTTAAGTGAGCTGCGTGAAATGGATGTACGGGTGCAAAAGTTGATTCATTGATTCAATAATTGATGAGGAAATAAGAATTATTATTATTTTTTGATTGTTTAATTGATTTGTAAAAAATGATTTGTAAATGTTGATTTGTTTAATTGATGTGTACATAATTCTTATTTGTGCTTGTTTAATTGATTGAAATGTAATAGTTGATTTGTTGATTTTCAATCTGTATTATGTTGAAGGCAAAACAGACTATCGCAACACGAAACTGACTATCGCAACGAGAGAATCGCAATGCGAAATGAAAATCGCAATGCGAAATGAAAATCGCAATATTCAAATGAATGTCTAATAAGTGATAACAACTGAACAGATCATAGCAATATTCAAACTCAAGTTACTAATACATGCCTAACTGAAAATGTTAAAAGTGCACACATAAAATATACACATAATACAACGTTTGCATTTAAAAATCACCTAAGTTAACAGTCCCAAAAGGTGAAGCCAGTTATACTCCCGTGGCATTTTCTTTTCTTCGGGGACTTTTTCTTCTTCTTTTTCTTCTTCAGGATTATATGAATTACAGAATGGATGTTCAACATGTTCATTCACAGTCGTAACTTCCTCCTCATTATCATCAACAACATCTTCCTCGGCAACGACTGTTTCATCATCAAAATTCGGGTATTGACCAATATCAAAATCATTACACGCAGGGTCTGTTTCTTCTTCTGAAACATCATCAAAATCCGAGTATTGACCAATATCAAAGTCCGCATTGCGATTCTGTATTATCTCGTTGCGATAGTCAGAATCTCGTTGCGAAAGTCAGAATCGCGTTGCGAAAGTCAAAATCGCGTTACGAAAGTCAGTATCGCGTTGCGATTTTGTATTATCGCGTTGCGATAGTCAGTATCGCATTGCGATTTTCCAAATTCGTATTGCGATTTACTTAAATCGCATTGCGAATTGGGAAAATCGCAACGCGAAATTAGAAAATCGCATTGCGATAGTCATAATCGCGTTGCGAATCTGGAAATTGATTTGCGATAATGGAGATCGCATTGCGAATTAGCGATCGCATTGCGATTTTGTTGGTCATTTTGACAAATCCGGAAAAAGTTGGTAAAATCGTATATTATTTGAGATTTTTGGTCACTGAGGTTATTTTCTCTAATTGAAATATGTGACAATAATCATTAACTTACATATCAATCATTTAATCATCTCATCATAAAATAAATAAAAATAGATTCCCATGTCATGTCATGAAATTAAATCTCAACCATCTTCGTTCGTGTGGATATGTATTCTTACGTCATTCGACTTCGATTTACAGTTTATCAATGATCTTTTAGTAGTTTGATCTCCTTTTGTAATTTGTTTGTCGATACGTTTAGATCTATTCGTATCTATCTTTTGATCGAATTTTTTTGTTAGGTTTTTTAACGCTTTCTTCCTTGTATGATCTTTGTGTGATTTAGTGGTTAGTTTTTTACTAATAGTTATAAAAAATATCATTTTTTGAGGTTGTTTTATAATATTAGAAAAGTTAGTGTTTTTTTAAATAAATATCATAATATTTTTAATATTTAAAAAAAAAATTTAAAATAACTAGATTCTGACATGTGTCACTTAACAACAGAAATTAACGTCATTGACGACCCGAACACCTAAATGGATAACGTTTGTAACGTTAGGCACTTGGATGAGACAAAAATTAGTTTAGACACCTATTTAGGAAAAACGGTATAGTTTGGGTACTTATTTTGGTATTAAGCCTTAGTAGAATCATGTTGACTCGTAGGGGCGGAACTAAAAACTTATTATAGCGGAGTTAAAATATTTTTTATTTTTCATAAATACAATTCTTTTTAATTGAGAGACCCGGTAAATTTTTCTCCCTTTGTATTATATATATATATTAAAAAAATAATTTACGGGAAGTTCCGCCCACGATGACTCAGGGCTGAAAATATGCTCTACTAATCGACTTTTCATGTTAGGGATGATAACGTGAATTTAACTATCCAAATTGTTCTTTTAAATAAATATTTTATAAAGATTGAAAATTAAAACTAATTCGTCGAATAGATAAGTAAGCTTCGTAAATATACATGAAGAAATAAATCTTTATAATAATAATATTAAGGGTAAAGTACACCAAATGGTCCCCCAACTATATGAAACTGCTTTATTGAGTCCCTCAACTATAGAATATTATTTTGCTGAGTCCCTCGACTATTAAAAGTTCTAAAATGATCACCTGAATATTTATTATAATCAAAACTCGTCATTTTTCATTAAAAAATTAACGACAGTCTCAGTTGGATATTAATATGTTGTCTAAGATATGATCAGGGACAGAGCCAAGATTATATATAGACATTGGGCCAAAATATTAAACTTTTTAAGAAAAATAAAATAACTTATTAGGTATTTAAACTTACAGTTCAAAAGACAATATATAATTTGTCTAATAATTAAATTTATAATGGCCTAAATTGTTATTAGACAAAAAAATTGAGAACGCTGGATTATGATTCTTTTTTTTGTATAACCATCGGTTTTTGATATATTGATCGACTAATTTGGATCAGGTACCGCAGAGGCAAGGGCAACCCTCCCAACCCAATTTGCTCCATTTGCAATCGCCAAGATTCGAACCCCTGACATTTCTTAAGGGATCTAGTGCCTCATCCTACTAGACCAATCGATTGTTGGTTTTGGATTATCATTCTTTAGCCTACTTGATTAAATATCTAATAAATTCTTATAATATATTATATCAAAATCTATCGAACATAAAATAATTTTACAGGGGTCGGGGCCCCTTTAGGCCCCATGGGAGCTCCGCCCCTGGATGTGATAGTCGTTTGAGATTCTGTGATCATATTTATCATATCTCAAACAACTGATTAACATCAAACTCAGACTATCAAAAAAAAATTAACAGAAAAGGATGAATTTAGAATATAATAAATATTTGAGTGATCATTTTGTAATGTTTAATAGTCGGGGAACTCAACAAAGTAACATCCGATAATCAAAGGACTATTTTGTAACTTTTGATAGATAGAGGACTCAACAAAGAAACATCATATAATCAAAGGATTATTTTATAACTTTTAATAGATAAGGGACTCAACAAAGCAACACTTTATAGTTAGAGGACCATTTGTATACTTTACCCTATTATTAAAGAGTTTTAAAAAAATTTAATTTTAGAAATCAGAACAAATTACTCATTCCGTTCGATGTAGAATTTCTTTAATATTTGTTTTTTCTTTATTTTTTTTAAAAATATATAAAAGCTGCACCAACAAATCGGTGTGCATGCAATACACCAAAACTTTTTTTCTTTTAAAGCAGCAATAAGCAAAAGCCGGTAATGGGTCCCGCACTGACCGTTGGTGCTTTCACGCCTTAACAAAAAAAAACATGCCTTTCAAAAAATCCCAAAATTCTCTTTTCTTCTTCCTCTGGCCCTAACCCTAACACTAATTTCCAATTCCGATCTCTATTGCTTTCCCATCACCATCTTCATATTTGGCCCTTCAAATGTATCGATCTGATCTACAAAAATGCCATGCGTAGCTTATTTTTTCTCTTGTATAATCCACCAGACGCACATGATTAATCGTAACCACCTATGCTTTATATGATCTGATTATTTTACTTTTTATGATTGAATTAATTTCTGGATTTAGAGCGGTGGATCGATTTGAGGAGTGAAATTTTTTTATTGGGTGGTGATAATGTCAAGCATCCGTGGCGGGGATTTCAATCAAAAGATTGATTATGTATTCAAAGTGGTTTTGATTGGGGACTCAGCGGTTGGAAAATCTCAGCTGCTTGCACGTTTCTCCCGTAACCAATTCAGTTTGGATTCGAAAGCCACGATTGGTGTTGAATTCCAGACTAAAACACTTGTTATTGATAACAAAACTGTTAAAGCGCAAATTTGGGATACAGCTGGACAAGAAAGGTTAGATTTTACTTGTATATGCCTGAAAATTTCACTTCGTTTTTCTGTATGAATTTGGGTTTGAGAAAATGAAAGAATTTAGAGTAGAAAAAGTCGGGGAACAATACTATTTGATATATCTTTTTGCCTATCCAAGGAACAGTGTTAATACTTATAATAGGCAAATGATATATATACATCGGAAATGAGGCTGAAATGACATGAAAGAAACAAGAATCTGATAAGAAAGAAATAATTTATTTTTACATTTTTCATCGATAATATATGTAAATGTCATGGTTGTTTGGCTTACTGTTAGATTCTGGAGATGATGATGCATTGGTTGCTTAGAGACTACTTAGTTGAACCCAAGAGATTGGCGGGATAAGAATCATAATATTTTCTAATTTGGTTAATGTGAGGCAGATCTTTATTTTGCTTCTTTTTCAATTCAATTAGTGTTCTCGCTAAAAGACTGTTCAGAGAGGAAGCCAATGTCATAGTCATAGCAGTTGAGCTGCTTACCCTGACTAATACTTCTGGGAATGGTTTTTGATGGTATTAAGTGGAAAATTCCTAGTCCTCCAATAAAGACTTCGAAATTTTGGTGTCATTGTTGTTTAAGATAGAGACTTCTTTTCTGCCAGTTATAGATTCTAAAATTTTTCAAATTAGAAAGATATTTCTAATCCTGTAAAGTGTTTTCATGTAATTTATGCTGTGTCTTTTCATTTTTGATGGACTTGCATTATAGTTCTCTCGGGAGTACATAATATTGAAAGTTGTCATGCAAGCACCGAAAGTTGCCAAGCTAGTTGGCAGCAATGATTCACCGAAATTGTTGAATAATGCACCGAAAGTGCATTGTATAGTTGGCAGCAATGATTCACCAAAATTATTGAATTTTATGGCATGGTAAAATTACTGAATTAGTCCTTGTACTTTAGGATATTTATAAGATTAGTCTTTAAGCTTCAACTATAAATACCCTAACTCATTTAGCTTCAAAACCATCCCAAATCATTTTAGCTTTCTCCCAATACTAGAGAAATTAGAGAGTTTTTTTTTAGAATTGTTTTCTCCTTTTTATTAAGAGAGAATTGTCATTGTTTTCTCCTTGTTATATCGAGAGAATTTGTAATTCCTATTTTATCATAGTGAAATTCTTCTACCTTTGCCCGTGGTTTTTACCCTATAATATTTAGGGGTTTTTCACGTAAAATTTGTGTCTTCTTTACCTTCATTTTTATTTTCTCAAATTATCAGTTGCGATTTTGCTTTATTCGATAATCGTATTCCGCAACAATTGATATTAGTGCTATATTAGAGTGTGTAATATCTATTTATTGTCTTTGTGGTTGCCACCAAAAGATGGATCCTCTAATATAGGAAAGTAAGAAGGTATTATACATTCTTTTAAGGTTTCAGAGAACTATTCATGATAGTGAAATTGTGGGAGCTATTTGTAATAGCTATGGCAACGAAATTTGATATTGAAAAGTTCAATGGGAGAAATTTCTCATTGTGGAAATTGAAGATGAAGACCATCCTGAGGAAAGACGGTTGTCTAGCAGCTATTAGTGAAAGGCCAATAGATTTCACAGATAACAACAAATGGATCGAAATGGACGGGAATGCTATGACAAACTTTCATCTAGCATTAGCATATGAAGTATTGTCAAGCATCGAGGAAAATAAGATAACTAAGGAGATATGAGATCATCTCACCAAACTATACGAGGCCACATCGTTGCACAATAAAATTTTCCTTAAAAGGAAATTGTATATTCTTTGGATGCCAGAATCTACTTCAGTGACAGAGAGGTTAAACACACTGAACACTTTATTTTCTCAGTTTACATACTTAAGATGTACAATAGGAGAACAAGAACGTGTTTACTTCTACTTCAAAGTCTACTTGATTCGTATGATCAACTCATCATCAACTTGACAAATAATAATATCATCAGTCTAGTCTTCGATGACATTGCAGCTGTTGTTCTACAAGAAGAAAATCGGCGCAAGAACAAGAAAGACAGAGAAGTAAATCTGCAACAAGCAGAAGCGTTGACAACGATGAGAGGGAGATCAACAAAACGTGGCCAAAGCAGCAGTCACAAATATGGTAGATCAAAGTCGAGAAACAAGAAGAATTTAAAGTGTTACAAATGTAGAAAGAAGTGTTAATTGAAGAAGGATTGTTGGAGTCTAAGTAAAAAGTCCAATCCACAAGGCAATACCGCAAACACTTTAGATTATGGAGATGCTTTATGTTATGAAACGTTAACCACCATGGAAGGTAGAAAGAGATTTGAAGATATATGACTCATTGATTCAGGAGCAACATATCACATGACCTCAAGAAGAGAATGGTTCCATAATTATAAACCTGTCTCAGGAGGATCTATGTATAGTTGCAATAATCATGCCTTAGAGATCGTTGGCGTGAGAACCATCAAATTAAAGATGTATGATGAAACAATTAAAGTTGTTCGAGATGTGCGACACGTGAAAGGCCTGAAGAAAAATTTATTATCCTACAGATTGTTGGATAATAATGCAAGCAAGGTTGAAACACAGAAATGAATCATGAAGGTGTTCCGTGGAGCGCTTATGGTGATGAAAGGTGAAAAGATAGCAGCAAACTTGTACATGCTGAAGGGAGAGACTTTGCTAGAAGCATAAGCCTCTGTTGCCTCATGTAGTTCAGATTCTCCAATACTATGGCATCATAAACTTGACACATGTCAGAACAAGGAATGAAACTCCTTGTGGAGAAAAAACTACTTCCAGGCTTAACAAAGACATCACTTACTTTGTGTGAGCATTGTATAAAAAGTAAGCAGCACCGATTGAAATTCAACACGTCGAATTCTAGAGGCAAAAGTGTTCTAGAATTGGTTCATTCTGACGTATGGAAAACACTACTTACATCCCTAGGCGAAGCAAAATATTTTATCTCATTTATTGATGACTACTCCAGGAAATGTTGTGTGTACCCTATTAAGAAGAAGTCAGATGTGTTTTCAACTTTCAAAAACTTCAAAGCGCGAGTAGAAATTGATTCTAGAAATAAGATCAAGTGTTTCCGAAAAGATAATTGAGGAGAATACACAAGTGAAAAATTTGATAACTTTTGCAAGAAAGAATGCATCAAAAGACAGTTCACAGCGACGAACACTCCTCAATAAAATGGAGTGGCAGAGAGGATGAACAGAACCTTGTTAAAAAAAACAAGAGCAATATTGAGGGCTGCAGGCCTAGAAAAATCATTTTGGGCAGAAGCAGTCAATACCGTCTTTTATTTGGTGAATCAAGCTCCATCAATTACAATAGAGCTGTAGACACCAATGGAGATGTGGACTAGTAAATCAACTGATTATTCAAACCTCCATGTATTTGAAAGTATTGTGCACGTGATGTACAACTCCCAAGAAATTTCAAAGTTGGATCCAAAATCCAGGAAATACAAATTCTTGGGGTATGCTGATGGGGTAAAGGAGTATCGCTTGTGGGATCCCACTACCCGCAAAGTGATCATCAGCAGGGATGTTATCTTTGTAGAAGATAAACTACGAAGAAAAGAAGATGATGATAGCACTGAAAAGTCAGAGACTACACATATACATATGGAAAAGGAGTTTGAACAAGGAGATTCTTCTGAAGCAGAACCATCACATGATGAACAAGAACCAGAGAGTTCTAAAGCTCCAACAACTCGTCAATCAGATCATGTGAGAAGACGTCCCAATTGAAACTTAGATTATGTTATAGAATGAAATATTGCATATTGTCTTTTAACACAGGACGATGAGTCATCAACATTCCAGGAGGCAATAAACAATTCAGATGCTTCACTATGGATGATGGCGATGCAAGAAGAAATTGAAGCCATTCATAAAAATAATACATAGGACATAATAAACTACCACAAGGAAGGAATCAATTGGTAACAATTGGGTCTTTAAAATCAAGTGAAATGGTAACGATCAAGTGAAGAGGTATCGTGCAAGACTGGTGGTCAAAAGATATGCTTAAAAAGAATGTATTGATTTCAATGAAATCTTTTCTCCTGTGGTTCGACTAACAATAGTTCGAGTAGTCTTGGCAACGTGTGCTATATTGAATTTACATCTAGAGCAGCTAAATGTTAAAACAGCTTTTCTTCATAGAAATCTTGAAGAAGAGATTTATATGCTCCAGTCTGAAGGTTTTGAAGAAAAAGAAAAGAAAAACTTGGTTTACAGGTTGAACAAATCTCTGTACGGACTAAAGCAAGCGCCGAGGTGTTGGTATAAGAGATTTGATTCCTTCATTATGTGCCTTGGATATAACAGACTTAACGCAGACTCTTGTGTTTATTTCAAGAGGTTTGATGATAAAGATTTTGTTATATTGTTGTTGTATGTGGATGATATGTTGGTTGCAGGACCTAACAAAGATCATATTGAAGAATTGAAGGCACAACTGGCTAGGGAATTTGAAATGAAAGACTTGGGATCAGCAAACAAGATTCTGGAGATGGAAATTCACCAAGACAGAAGTAATAGGAAGATTTGGCTTTCACAAAAGAATTACTTGAAGAAGATCTTGTCACGATTCAACATGCAAGATTATAAGCCAATTTCTACCCCTCTTTCTATTAACTTCAAATTATCCTCCAATATGAGTCTTAGCAGTGAAGAAGAGAGGATGAAGATGTCTCGAGTACCATATGCATCAGCGATGGGAATTTTAATGTTCGTTATGATATGCACAAGACTAGACATTGCACAAGCAGTGAGAGTGGTTAGTCGGTACATGGCGAATCCATGCAAAGAGTATTGTAATACAGTAAAGATGATCCTGAGATACATCAAAGGGACCTCAAATATTGCATTATGTTACGGAGGATCAAACTTACTTATCAATAGGTATACCGATTCTGACTATACAGGGGATTTGGATAAAAGCAAATCTACAACAAGATATGTGTTCTAAGTTGCTGGTGGAGCTGTAAGCTGAGTTTCAAAATTGCAGTCAGTTGTGGCTACATCCAAAATAGAAGCAAAATATGTAGCAGCTACACAAGCCAGTAAAGAAGAAATTTGGTTGAAGATGTTATTGGAGGAGCTTGGGCACAATCAAGAGTATGTCTCTCTGTTTTGTGACAGTCAAAGCGTCTTTCATCTAGCAAGGAATCCAACATTTCATTCAAGGACAAAACACATACGAGTTCAGTACAATTTCATTCGTGAAAAGGTGGAAGAATGAAGGTAGATATACAGAAGATCCATACCAAAGACAACATAGCAGATTTCATGACGAAGGCGATCAATGCTGATAAATTTACTTGGCGTCAATCCTCTTGTGGCCTGTCAGAGACGTAAGCAACATGATGGTATAAGGCATAAAGAATGATGTGAAGATATGATTGTTCCAATCAAATCTTCAAGTGAGAGATTATTGAAAGTTTCCATACAAGCAATGAAAGTTGCCAAGCTAGTTGGCAGCAATGATTCACCGAAATTGTTGAATAATGCACCGAAAGTGTATTGTATAGTTGTCGGCAATGATTCACCAAAAGTGTTGAATTTTATGGTATGGTAAAATTATTAAATTGGTCCCTATACTTTAAGATATTTACAAGATTAGTCCTTAAGCTTCAACTATAAATACCCTAACCCATTTAGCTTCAAAACCATCCCAAATCATTCTAGCTTTCTCCCAATACTAGAGAAATTAGAGAGTTTTTTTTAGAATTGTTTTCCCATGGTTTTTACCCTATATTATTTAGGGGTTTTCCACGTAAAATTTGTGTCTTCTTTATCTTCATTTTTATTTTTTCAAATTATCAGTTGCGATTTTGCTCTATTCGATAGTCATATTCCGCAACACATAAATTGTAGGCTTGAGTATTTTCCGACTTCATTGATTGTATCGTCTGGAACTTTATGCTTCATTCTTGGGCTGGATTTGTGCTGAACGTGATAGACAATTGGTGGGAGTTATTGAAAATTGCAAGTGTTTGATAATATAGAGGTATTGGAAACTGAAGGAAGGACAACAATCATAAACAAACATTTGTACGTGAAAATGTCAGATGCTCGGAAAACCGCATTAGGTCTTATAGGAGAGAAATATTGTTCAGCGAAGTTTCATGAATCTATTTTAATCATCTTTACTTGAACAGATTGATGCTGCATTAACAGACATATCATCTTTTGAAATTTCTAAAGACAGTTCAAGCAGACCAATAGATTCATGACCCATATATAAGCAGACCAATTAACAGACATATCATCTTTAAAAATGTAGAAGGATAATGAGCTCTTATCTCAAAAAATGCAGTTCTTCCAGAATGAGATTGCAGGTATAACATAAACCCTCATTAATCACTTTATGCAGAATGCTAAATGGTCATTATTGGTCATGAGCATATTATTAGTGCATTCATGTGCTCAAATCAAGAAATAATTAATGATGACAATTGCTTTCCTTTAAAACACCAGTCAGACACTACTGCAGCATCAATGGGATGTTGCTAATTTTTTCTCTGACATGGTAATCAAAGTTATGGTTTACTCTATAAGAAACGATATAAAATTGAACCTTCTCTGGCGTATGCCAAATTGCTTCAGTTTTGGTAATTTCACTCTCTATATTTTTGCTTATAGATTAGGTCCCAAAATAACATTGCAATGCCTGATACAGGCATACAGCACTGTGTTTTGTCCCATCAACCGACTGCATTTTGGTTCATGCCGCATGGTATACTGAAAGTATTCCTTTTATTTGTTCTTCTATCAGGTATAGGGCGGTGACTAGTGCATACTACCGAGGAGCCGTAGGAGCGATGTTAGTTTACAACATGACCAAGCGTCAATCATTCGACAACATGGCAAGGTGGCTAGAGGAATTGAGGGGACATGCAGATAAGAATATCGTTGTAATGCTCATTGGCAACAAGTGTGACTTGGGGAACCTAAGAGCAGTCCCAACGGAAGATGCACAAGAGTTTGCTCAAAGAGAGAGCCTGTTCTTCATGGAGACATCAGCTCTAGAATCGACCAATGTCGAAACTTCATTTTTGACAATTCTAACAGAGATATACAGAATAATGTGCAAGAAAACACTCTCTTCCAACGATGAGTCAGATGCCAATGGCAGTGCGGGTCTTCTTAAGGGAACCCGGATTATTGTTCCCAATCAGGAGCAAGAAACCCAAAAGAAAGGCGGCTGCTGTGGCGTATCATCCTAATTCTAATAACATACATTTGTTTTTCTTTTCTTCATTTTGCCCATTTTTGCTAAACTTTATTTTGAGATTTATTTTCCAAGCTTTTTTGATTTGTTCATTTAGGTTTATTTTTTGTGTAATTTTTATGAAAAGTATATCAACATTTTATAGGAGAAAGTTGTTAATTAATACTCTACTTCCACAGAATGAGGCATTGATAATTTAATATTTAATTATTTTATTTTGTTGCTCTTGGCTTTTCTTTGTATTGCACTATTGAACCGAAATACAATTTTCTTATAACCACAAACCTTAAATTTTAAGTTAATGAAATTATAAAAAGAAAGTATGATGGAAAATGCTTCTAATCGTTTATGTGATTTTCTCATTTCAGTTGAGAAACTCATGAGAATGGAGGACCATTAACGAGCAAATCTAAGGGGAAAAAGAATACCAACTTAAAATCTAATGGCCAAGAATCAAATCTTAATTCCATAACATAAACTCAATCAAAATAAAAATTGAATAGAAACTAAAAAACAAGCTCCAATCAGACTACAAAACACACACACAAAAAAGGAGGAAATTTGGGGTTTTAAAAGATGGTATAAGAAAAAAATATGGTTTGTTTATATAGATTTGATAAAATCGATAGTACGGTACGTCCAGTAATACTCAAAACCAGAAGAACACAAAAGTTAAACAACTTAGATAAACGCAAAAGTTACTTCTAGAAAGCAAGCTCATGAGGCTTCATGCCAGACTTGAGTGAAAATCTTACCGCAAGGTAGGCTTTCCAATCTGGGATACTTTCAATGGACTTTATTAAAGAGGCATCGAAAGCTTTCTGGTTGTAATCACCATTTTTTACTTGTATTATTTTATTATTAAAAAAAGAAAAAAATATAATATTGTAGTGGTTGGGGTTATTAATACCCCAACCACCCCGTGTAAAAAATTCACGCTTTGTTCTCAAAAATAGGAATGAAACTTTTTTTCTTCTAACTTTCTCTCCTTTACTGCTTTCTTATCTAGCTTTCTCTTTTGGTTTTGTCTTTGGGTTTTCGTGGGGGATCACAGGCAGAGGGAGTGGCCACCGTTGAGCGGTGGCCGGCTTGCAAGAGAGACCCTCTCACGGCTAGGAAACTTAGGTTGTTGGTGGTCGGTGAAGGATAGGGAGTTTCGACCGAGAGGTCGATGGTAGGAGGGTGGTTTTTGGGGTTTCAGTTGTGTGAGTGATGAGCGGGGGTGAATTTCGTTTATGTCCTCTAGATCTTCACCGGCCGGTCGAAGATGATCGTGAGGGAGTAAGGGGGTCACAAGGTCTTGGTGGCCGACGTTGGGGGTCAGTTTTACATCCCTCGACGTTGTGAAGAGAAAGAATGGGAGATGAGGATAACAGGAAAGGTTCTCGGCCGTTTAAGTCTCATTTGGGCTTCCTTTGGCGTGGTTAAGGTCGCCGTGGTTTTAGGTCAGTCACCGGCCTGGTGGTCGGCGTGTGGAGGGCTGCTGAGTGGTGATCGAGTGAGGTTGTGAAGCATGCAAGCTTCTGCGCAGTTTATGTGAAAGGGGATGATATTTGTGTGTATGAAAAATGGGTAAATCACTCACCATGTCCCCAAATTGTAGCTTCTTTTTGCTTTGTGTTTCAGAGTCAAATCGCATTTCAGATCCTCCGATTTCAGCTTGTTTTACGTTTTGATCACTATCAGGGTAAAATCATCTTTAAGCTGCTTATATTTTAATTTCTTTTGCACTCTGGTCATTAACTTTGTTATTTATTTATATGTATATTAATTTTATTATTTTTTGAATTTAGTTACTTTTTTATGTTTATTCATTTTAGTTACTGTTTGGTGTTTATTTCTTATGTTATTATGATGTGGATGTGATATTTACAATTTATTCATTTTAGTCACTTTTTTATTTCTGATTTGGTTACTACTTTTTTGTTTTATATTTTGGTCTCGTATTATACATCAATTTAATTTCAGTTCTTTAATTATTGCACTCTAATTTATGTTTAATTTATTTTACTCCCATGAATATATATATATATATATATATATATATATATATATGTTTTCATGTTTTATCATATTGAATGCCTTATTTTGCTACCTTACATTGTGGTCCTTATGTTTATGATTTTATTTTATTAAAGCACTTATATTTGTGTGATAATTATTTTTGGGCCTTTGATTTTTATTGTGTTTATAATTTTACCATTTTAGTTTAAACTATCATTATCTAGCATGATTAATATAATTTGGATTAATTGCCTTAATTTCTTATTTTGGTCAAATCAAATTGTTTAATCTCGAATTCTTGGGAGAAGTTATAATATTCTTTTTATTTCAGTTGGAAAGAGAAATATTCTTTCTAAAATATTTTAGGGATTATTTTCTCTTCGGTTAAAAATATTAGAATATTTTTCATTTCTCCTTAGAATTTTCCATTAAATAAAATTGTATGTTGATTCTGGAATAATAGGATCATAACTTAAATTTATATTCGAATTCTTAGATTTCCACTATTAGATACAATTTATAATCGATGGGGTATCAATTTTGGGCGTTGTGGGGTGTTTATCCTTCCCTACACGTAATCGATCCGAATCCCTTTTTTATTTCAAAAAGAATGAATCTCTGGTTACACGCAGACTGATTTATCTTTTAAAATGATGTTTTCTTAAAAACTCTTTTAAAAGGTATTTTTAGGTAATCGAACTACCTAACTCAAAATGTCGATGGTGACTCCAAAACATTTCAAAATCTTTTCAAAAGATTTCAAAATCTTTTCAAAAGAAAACCCCCAAGTCGTACTAAGTTTTCCTCCGCCCGGGCGGAAAACTGTGTCGACAGCTTGGCGACTCCGCTGGGGACTTAGAGGGTCAAGCCATAAATCAATTATATATTGTCTCTATAGTTAGAAATTGAGAAGTCAGCTTTATTTAATTTACGATTCCTTTGATTCCTTTTAATCGTTATTTAATTTTATATTTTGTATACTAATGTGTGCATTTGATTGATTTTCAGATATTAAAGTCTTGGATTCACTTTAGTTCGTTTTTGTGTGGTTATTTGTCAAATGTTTGATAATTTCTCCTCACACACGACACTTGCATTGTATAACATATGCTCTATACCCGAGCTCTTCCTTTTAAGTGGGAGTGAAAGTGACATCTTCGTGAGAATTTATTCTCCGTGTCAGACCTAGCAAGTAGCTTCCGGGGTTCATATGTTCTATTTCTTCGTGAGGATTTATTCTCCGTGTCAGGCATAGGGAAATGTGCCCCCTTGAATTGAACTCGATTCGCTTAAGCCTATAATGGGTGAGGATTGAGGGTCTGACTCGCCCAATGGGGCACCGACAAGGACAATTCAAGTAACTTTACTCCTAGAACTGAAACTCTGTATATAGTCAACTATAAACCCACCCGATCTAATACCGTACTGAAACTTTGTCCATAGGTACCCATATAAATGTACACAAATGAGAATTGAACTTTAATCTTAGTCTTTTAATTTATTCGATATGTCATTTTTGAATAATTGCATGTGAATTATAATTATGCGGTTAGGGTTTTAATTTTCTCTGTGTTTTATTCACTGTATTTATGGTTCATTTACCAGTTGAATTTAATCTTTTCATATTTCATTAACATACATTTTCTCTCTTTGATTATTATTTTTGCTAACATCTTTTCCTTATCTTGTTGCTTTATTTGTGCATAAACATGATGTTAATACTTGAGGTAATTATCAAAATTATAAGGCTTTTAAAACGATAACGCCACACGAAGAGGTATATATATTATTTTTATCCGCTTTGAAATGTTAGGACGTTGTGGGTTCTTTGAAAGTTGTTCTAAGATAATTACCTTGAAATTAACACATGTTTCATACATGTCATGTCATAGAAGGTATTGATTCCCGAGTTAATAGTTACATTAGAAGGCTTTCAATACAACAATGTTACTCGAAGAGGTAGAATATAAATGTAAAAATGCATCAATGATCCAGAATGGTGCTCCGAGAGACAATTGAAGAGCTACCTTAAACTGGAATACATGAAGCTCAAATGATGCAGCAAAACAAGTTTTTCAAGGGTTCTACAACGATGTTGATACAACTAGCCGAAAAAAATAATATTTCTGAAGTCATCAAGGAACAACAATAAACAACACGAGACAATGGATGATGTCAGTCGCATATGGCCACTCAACAAATGCATTTATGGAAAAAAGTCAAAGCGTTGGAATTTTCTATCAAGCCAAGGATAAAAGAAGGTTGTTTCGTTGCATATTCGATGAAATTGAACAATATGACGTGATTTGTAGTTTCCATCTGTCTCGGTGTATGGAGACATTGTGTGTTCTTTGGAAGTTGTTTTATGACAATTAATTTGGGATTAATTCCTTTGTTGCATTTACATTTTGCATTTTGCATTTCCATTTTTGCATTTGCATGAGCATCTTTGCATTTGCATGAGCATCTTTGCATTAGCATATATACAACGTACATTGCATGATATACATTGCATCTCAATATACATTAATCATGGATCCTAGGAGTAACTCGCAAATCTTTTGAGGTAAATTAAAGTCACACCTTCGTACTTAGAAAAGAATTGAGAGTTAAAGACGTGATGTTATTGCCTTCTGAAGTACGATGCTCATCATTGAGATCTGTGGGGCATCGAAGAGTAAGGTCCATAATTTGTTTGACTAGGGGTATTGACCTTTAACATTTCATGAGATATTTTGGTGCCAATCAAAAAAAAGTTATTCCATCCACCGTGAAACCTTATTGCATTGGCATTGTTTTGTTTGAACGTGTTTTTGTTTTTTCTTTGTATACTCAATAAATATTTTGTTAATTGAACTTATGTCATTTTCCAAGGTTATGAGTAATAAATCAAGTTTTAATCTTGTAGTTCTTTGAATATCAAATGAATTAAAGGTTCTTTTACTACTTCTTTAAATATGGATCTTTGACAAGTGGCAAGATTAGACCTTC